TCTGCAGTCGTTAATCTGGGATCCATTTCGATGCTCCTCTTGACAGCCCTTTTTGTCCTCTCCGATGGACCAGGACGACCCGGATGCTGCTCAGTTGTTTCATTGCCGTGTTTCCTGAACTGCACGATAATTCTGTTGACTGTCGAAAGCGGGATTCCCAAATTCTGCGAAATTTGCCGCTAACTTATTCCACCATCTGCTTGACCAATTATCCTTCCTCTAACAAAATCTGACAATTCGAGAGAACCTTGAGTTCTAGGCATGTTGTAGCACAAGATAATTAGTGTGCGGACCATGTTCATTTATATAGTGGTCTGTGAACACAAATTAGTTAGCATAAATCAGTTAAATGACGAAAAATTAGGTGTCTATTTACTTGTGACCACTCAGTGTACTTCTATGATTCACAGAAATAAGTCTAACAAGAAACTTTGTATTTTTTAATTCACTCTTGGAAATATTCACAGGTTTACTCCAAGTTACTTCCGGAACGGCGAAAACATTTTCACTCCGAAACCTAATATAAAATATAACACAAAATACGACTTCAACTGGAGGGCTAGAAATTAATTAGATAGATAAGTTTGTATTACTTCACATAATGATTGTCAGTTACCATTTGAAGTGTTTTTCTTATACAAAACTCTTAAAATTTTCATTACTTTAAAAATGCCCCCAGTGGCTCAGCGACAAATCTGAAGGATTACAAAGCAAAAACAGGGTTTTGATACCCGTTGGGGGCACAGCACAGACAGCCCATTGTGTAGGTTTGTGCTGAAAAGTAAAGAAATGTCACCTAAAACGAATCTGATTAAAGAAGACATATCTGGATTTCAAAGTTTTAAGTCAATTTTTATTTTGGTTCAAAGTTTTGGCACTGTTGTAGTGTGTATATTTCTTCAGGCTATCATATATCAGTATATAATAGATTCCTATCTATTATAGATTACAATTATCTGATTTAGCATCACTAAATCGTTAAGCTTACCTTTGTCTTGGGTTAAAAAGTCAAACATTTAACTAGTTTATCATGACTATAGCGTTAAACTTAGGTTTGTGTTGGGTTAAAAAGTGAAACATTCAACTGATTTATTATCACTAGATCATTAAGTTTAACTCTGTGTTGGGTTAAAAAGTCAAACATATAACTAGTTTATCATCACTAGATCATTAAGCTTAGTTTTGTGTTGGGTTAAAAAGTGAAACATTCAACCGGTTTATCATCACTAGATCATTAAGCTTAGCTCTGTGTTGGGTTAAAAAGTGAAACATTCAACTGGTTTATCATCACTAGATCATTAAGCTTAGCTTTGTGTTGGGTTAAAAAGTCAAACATTCATCTGGTTTATCATCACTAGATCATTAATCTTAGCTTTGTGTTGGGTTAAAAAGTGAAACATTCAACCGGTTTATCATCACTAGATCATTAAGCTTAGCTCTGTGTTGGGTTAAAAAGTGAAACATTCAACCGGTTTATCATCACTAGATCATTAAGCTTAGCTCTGTGTTGGGTTAAAAAGTGAAACATTCAACTGGTTTATCATCACTAGATCATTAATCTTAACTCTGTGTTGGGTTAAAAAGTCAAACATTTAATTAGTGTATCATGACTAGATCATTAAACTTAGCTTTCTGTTGGTTAAAAAAAGTGGGCTTGATTATCTAGTTTTCTCAGTTTCTCGAACAAGTCGTCGTCACATAAACTATCAGTTTACGTTTTGATGACAACCTCAGACACACTTCATCATTCAGTGTCAACTTTTATGAATACTTTTTCAGAAGATGTGGAAGTTTGATTTAGCTGCCCTTCGCACTGGAATCTCATGGGGCGAAACACCTATCATAACTACCACGTTGTCAGCAGTGGTTGCTTTGGTCCTCTACAGGCGGTGGCGTAAATCACGTGGTCAACTTCAACCAAGCGGTAAAACTGTTTTGATAACCGGTTGTGACAGTGGTATAGGATATATTGTCGCCCGATGGTTGGATAAACTAGGTTTCACTGTATATGCTGGATGTCTCTTTGCTGACGGAGACGGAGCTCAGAAACTAAAAGATTCTTGTTCAACTCGCCTCCGCATAATCCAACTTGATATCACTGATGCCCAGCAGGTGGCGAAAGCTGTTGCCACAATTGAAGAAAGCTTGTCACCAGCTGAAGGTACGGAGTGGTATATAAAATATGTATTTTTCGTATACTCGTTTTAAAACTTTATAATTACATGTATTGTTTTATGTTGTTATATCCTTCTGGATCAGTGATTGTATTCTTGTAACAAACTTAATATTTGTAGTCTTGCCTGAGTGTGGTTTCGTCCTTATAATTTATTATGGTGACAAACTTAATCTATGTAGTCTTGTCTGAGTGTGGTTTCGTCCTTATGGTTTGTTATGGCGACAAATTTAATATTTGTAGTCTTGCCTGAGTGTGGTTTCGTCCTTATGGTTTGTTATGGTGACAAATATAATATTTGTAGCCTTGCCTGATTGTGATTTCGTCTTTATAGTTTATTATGGTGACAAACTTAATCTATGTAGTCTTGCCTGAGTCAAGACTACAAATATTAAGTTTGTCACCATGATAAACCATAAGGACGAAACCACCCCCGAGTGTTTATTATGGTGACAAACTTAATATTTGTAGTCTTGCCTGAGTGTGGTTTCGTCCTTATGGTTTGTTATGGTGACAAATATAATATTTGTAGTCTTGCCTGATTGTGATTTCGTCCTTATAGTTTATTATGGTGACAAACTTAATCTATGTAGTCTTGTCTGAGTGTGGTTTCGTCCTTATAGTTTATTATGGTGACAAACTTAATCTATGTAGTCTTGCCTGAGTGTGGTTTCGTCCTTATAGTTTATTATGGTGACAAATTTAATATTTGTAGTCTTGCCTGAGCGTGGTTTCGTCCTTATGGTTTGTTATGGTGACAAATTTAATATTTGTAGTCTTGCCTGAGTGTGGTTTCGTCCTTATAGTTTATTATGGTGACAAACTTAATATTTGTAGTCGTGCCTGAGTGTGGTTTCGTCCTTATGGTTTGTTATGGTGACAAATTTAATATTTGTAGTCTTGCCTTAGTGTGGTTTCGTCCTTGTAGTTTATTACGGTGACAAATTTAATATTTGTAGTCGTGCCTGAGTGTGGTTTCGTCCTTATGGTTTGTTATCGTGACAAATATAATATTTGTAGTCTTGGCTGACACACGATCCAATTGAAAAAAAAAAAAATGTTTTAACACAACCAGAAAATATTATTGGTGGAATATACGGGAATATATTGGGATTAAATTAAAGAAAATGTGTTACAATATTAAATAAGGACGAGGGATTTGATGGAAATGTGGTTAGCCGATGGCTTAACATTTTGTAACATGAAAAAACGTACTTTGTACTAGTGGCTCTTTGTAAATGTATATATAGGTCTGATTCTTGCATAACATTGCATTCCTGAGAGTGATTCAGTAAGACGTCGAAACTTGTCGGGTGTACGAGATTTTTTCCAGTCTCATCGGCTTTTTATCCTGTATAGGAAGTTATTGAGTATTATATTGTATTTTTCACAGTCTCATATTTATGATTGTTGTGCGTAGCAACACGTTTTTTTATTTAATTTGACTTTGCTAACTGTTGTAATTAAATTATACTTTGTTTAATTTATGGAAATATCAATTTGTTCTCTAGGACTTTACGGGTTGGTGAATAATGCAGGAATCCTGAGCATGGGGGCGCTAGAGTGGTATCCAGATGCTCATTGGACCCAGGTGGTGGATGTAAATATTAAAGGCACCTTTCGCGTGACAAAATCGTTTCTACCGCTCATTCGAAGGGGGCGTGGTAAGTATATCCTAGTTTGTTTACAGTTTATACTAGGATATATATACAATCTGTGATGGGGGTGTGGTTAGTATATCCTAGTTTGTTTACAGTTTATACCAACATACATATACAGTCTGTGATGGGGCATGATAAGTATATCCTAGTTTGCTGACAGTTTATACTAGGATACATATACAGTCTGTGATGGGGGCGTGGTAAGTATATCCTAGTTTGTTTACAGTTTATACCAAGATACATATACAGTCTGTGATGGGGGCGTGATAAGTATATCCTAGTTTGTTGACAGTTTATACTAGGATACATATACAGTCTGTGATGGGGGTGTGGTAAGTATATCCTAGTTTGTTGTTTTGTCGTTGTTACAGTGCTGGTTGGGCTGTTTGGATATTATTTGTAGAATCTGTTTCTTTACAGTCTATACAAGGGTATCTACAGTCTGTGACAGTTTGTTTACAGTTTATACTAGAGTATTTACAATCTGTGACAGTTTGTTTACAGTCTATACTAGAGTATGTACAATCTGTGACAGTTTGTTTGCAGTCTATACTAGGGTACCTACAGTCTGTGATGGGTTGTTTACAGTTTGTACTAGGACATTTACAATCTGTGACTGTTTACATTCTATACTATGGTACCTAGAATATTTACAGTCTGTGACAATTTGTTTAAAGTCTATACTAGAGTATGAACAAATTGTGACAGTTTGTTTACAGTCTATACTAGAGTATCTACAATCTGTGACAGTTTGTTTACAGTCTATATAAAGTATCTACAGTCTGTGACAGTTTGTTTACAGTCTATACTAGAGTATGTACAATCTGTGACAGTTTGATTAAAGTCTATATAAAGTATCTACAGTCTGTGACAGTTTGTTTACAGTCTATACTAGAGTATGTACAATCTGTGACAGTTTGTTTACAGTTTATGCTAGGGTACCTACAGTCTGTGACAGTTTGTTTAAAGTCTATACTAGAGTATGAACAAACTGTGACAGTTTGTTTACAGTCTATACTAGAGTATCTACAATCTGTGACAGTTTGATTAAAGTCTATATAGAGTATCTACAATCTGTGACAGTTTGTTTACAGTCTATACTAGAGTATTTACAATCTGTGACACTTTGTTTACAGTCTATACTAGCATATCTACAGTCTCTGATAGGTTGTTTACAGTCTATACTAGAGTATCTACAATCTGTGACAGTTTGTTTACAGTCTATACTAGAGTATCTACAGTCTGTGACAGTTTGATTAAAGTCTAATAGAGTATCTACAGTCTCTGATAGGTTGTTTACAGTCTATACGAGGGTATATACAGTGTGTAATAGGTTGTTTACAGTCTATACTAGAGTATGTACAGTCTGTGACAGTTTGATTAAAGTCTATATAGAGTATCTACAATCTGTGACAGTTTGTTTACAGTCTATACTAGCATATCTACAGTCTCTGATAAGTTGTTTACAGTCTATACGAGGGTATATACAGTGTGTAATAGGTTATTTACAGTCTATACTAGAGTATCTACAGTCTCTGATAGGTTGTTTACAGTCTATAAGAGGGTATATACAGTGTGTAATAGGTTGTTTATAGTCTATAAGAGGGTATATACAGTGTGTAATAGGTTGTTTACAGTCTATACTAGGATATCAACAGCCTGTAACATGTTTGCAGTCTATACTAGGGTATCAACAGTTTGTGATTGGTGATTTACAGTCTATAGTAGGCTAAAGACATTCTGTGATGGGCTGTTTAGAGTTTATTCTAAGGTATCAACAATCTGTAACAGTTTGTATTATAGTATTTACCATCAGTAATGGGTTATTTGCACTGTACACTAGGATATCAACAGTCTGTGATAGTTAATTTGCAGTATATACTATGATATCAACAGTCTGTGATAAGTTATTCAGTCTATAATAGTATCTACAGTCTGTGATAAGTTGTTTAGTGTATACTATGATATTAACAGTCTGTATCAGGTTGTTTACAGTCTATAATAGTATCTACAGTCTGTGATAAGTTGATTAGTGTATACTATGATATTAACAGTCTGTATCAGGTTGTTTACAGTCTATAATAGTATCTACAGTCTGTGATAAGTTGATCAGTCTATAATAGTATCTACAGTCTGTGATAGGTTGTTTAGTGTATACTATGATATTAACAGTCTGTATCAGGTTGTTTACAGTCTATAATAGTATCTACAATCTGTGACAGTTAGTTTACGGTATATACTATGATATTAACAGTCTGTATCAGGTTGTTTACAGTATATAATAGTATCTACAGTCTGTGATAAGTTAAGCAGTCTATAATAGTGTATCTACAGTCTGTGATAAGTTGTTTAGTGTATACTATGATATTAACAGTCTGTATCGGGTTGTTTACAGTATATAATAGTATCTCCAGTCTGTATCAGGTTGTTTACAGTCTATAATAGTATCTACAATCTGTGACAGTTAGTTTACAGTATATACTATGATATCAACAGTCTGTATCAGGTTGTTTACAGTATATAATAGTATCTACAGTCTGTGATAAGTTAAGCAGTCTATAATAGTGTATCTACAGTCTGTGATAAGTTTAAGGTCTATATGAAGGTGTTAATAGTTCACAACACAGTGTATACAAGTTTTTATACACTGTAGCAGGGTATGTAGTGTATGCCAATATGTTCTTTTTAAAAAATTATCAGTAAAAGAAAAGAGCATTGTAACATTTCAACCACCCTATCTACATCTGATTTTTCCAATGCCGACGAGGCCTATCGTGCAATACTAGGGCTCATCATTCCAGCTGGGATAGGACATTCCTAGTATTAGTTGGGGCATTGTTTATTTCATCATGTGCTCGAGCAAGAGATTTTTGAGGGTGACTGGATTATGTTGGGGACTGTAATTTTTTTATCTATTACTCACTAGAAGTAGGCTTGTTATGAATTTCAAGCAAAGTTACACGTGACTATCTGCTCTAGCTGTCCCTAATTTATCTGTGTAAGACTAGAGGGAAGGCGGCTAGTCATCACCATTCACCGCCAACTCTTGAGCTACCCTTTTTACCAACGAATGGTGGGATTGACCGTAACATTATAATGCCCCCAAGGCTGAAAGGGCGAGCATGTTTGGAGGGACAGGGTTTCAAACCCATGATTATGAGTCAAGTGCCTTAACCACCTGATCATGCTGAACCTGTAGAAGTATGTTTCACAATTCTTATTCACACCAGTGTATTTATTTTTACTTGAATCATCGTTATTCGTCATTTAAATGAATTAACGAACCAATAGCCTAGTCTGTTTTTGATCCAAAAACGGATCAAGTGACCACAGCGTCCACTGGTGACTGCATTATCTATACGAGCCGTGATCAAGGAAAACTGGATGTAATTCCCATGTAACAGCAGACATTCAAGCAGAATAAGACTATACATGAATTTCAACGAATATGGACTATGTTCACAAATGATGCCTGTTTTTTCAACGAAATATGTTCACAATTAATGCCTGTTTTTTCAACGAAATATGTTCACAAATGATGCCTCATTTTTAACGAACTATGTTCACAAATGATGCCTGTTTTTTAACGGACTATGTTCACAAATGATGCCTGTTTTTTCAACGAAATATGTTCACAAATGATGCCTGTTTTTTAACGGACTATGTTCACAAATGATGCCTGTTTTTTCAACGAAATATGTTCACAAATGATGCCTCATTTTTAACGGACTATGTTCACAAATGCTGCCTCTTTTTTAACGGAGTATGTTCACAAATGATACCTGTTTTTTAACGGACTATGTTCACAGCTGATGCCTATGATCACTTCCCTAGACACAAGTTCTATGTTACAATGAAAATCGCTCTAGAAATCATTCTTCAGATTATTGGGTTGTTTGGTAACAGCAGCATTTATAGGATTTTTATTTTTTGGGAGGCAGTTTTGGGGAGTCACTTAAAAGGCTATATCTCAAATAAGGGCTTTTGGAGGCCAGATCTCTTCTGTGGGGTCTGCCCACCCCTACGGACACGATTTTTTTAGGTACGGACTATCTTCCGAATCTCTCGGGTTTAGTTGTTCCATTAGGAGGAGTATGGAAGACATGGCACTATATTATCTCGCGGAAAAACATCTTTCATAAATAATATTAAAACACATCATAGCATCACAATATGATACACAATAAAACTAATAAAAAGGACCCTGTTGAAAATCATCTAAAGAAGCAAGTGGCCAGAAAGAAAGACGACCTTAACAACTGTACGTGTGTTGTGTATACAGAAATACAAATATCTTAATACAGGGTATCCGAAAATAAATAATCTTAATACAGGGTATCCGAAAATAAATAATCTTAATACAGGGCATCCGAAAATAAATAATCTTAATACAGGGTATCCGAAAATAAATAATCTTAATACAGGGTATCCGAAAATGAATAATCTTAATACAGGGTATCCGAAAATAAATAATCTTAATACAGGGCATCCAAAAATAAATAATCTTAATACAGGGTATCCGAAAATAAATAATCTTAATACAGGGCATCCGAAAATAAATAATCTTGATACAGGGTATCCGAAAATGAATAATCTTAATACAGGGTATCCGAAAATAAATAATCTTAATACAGGGCATCCGAAAATAAATAATCTTGCTACAGGGTATCCGAAAATAAATAATCTTGATACAGGGTATCCGAAAATAAATAATCTTAATACAGGGTATCCGAAAATAAATAATCTTGATACAGGGTATCCGAAAATAAATATACCAAAAATGTAGTTCATTAACTTTATTGTTATTTCAGATAACAACAACAATTGAATATGAATACAGGTATACAGGTAGTAAGTTTTATTTCGTTCATTTTTCTTCTTGTTGCTTTGACAATTTTGTTTGTTTGTTTGTAATTAAGCACTAGAGCTACACAATGGGCTATCT